TATGAGTAAAGCATTTGATCGAGTTTGGCATAGGGAGGGGTCTTGTACAGAAATCAAAAAAATCAGGTATCTCTGGGAAATTATTATCTTGGTGTGAAAAATATTTATCTGACAGAAGTCAAAGAGTTTTTATAAATGGGCTTTCTTCGGAAACTCACAATATTAAAGCAGGCACACTCCAGGTTCAATCTTAGGTCCTCTATTCTTTCTGGTTTATATTAATGATACAGTGAATGATATAAATTGTAAAATAAAATAATTTGCTGATGACACTGCCTTGTATATAATAGTTGAAAATCCTACCGTCGCTGTTAATACTATAAATAATGATCTTTCAAGGATACACACATGGGCAAACAAAATGCTACTTAAATAGTGGGACAGACCTACACCGGTTGGGTAAAGGCCAAATTATTCTCTTAATCACTAGATGGATAATGACCAAACCTGTTCTCTTAAACGTTGGACAAGGCAGTTGGACAAACCATCCCCTTAATCATTAGAGGAATAATAACCAAACCTCTTCAACATTTGTTTGGTAGTGGGACAAACAATCCCCTCAATCACTTGATGGGTAATAACCAAACGTGTTCTCTTAAACATTTATTTGGTAGTAGGACAAAACATCTCCTTAATCACTCGATGAATATTAGCTAACCTGTTCTCTTAAACATTTATTTGGTAGTAGGACAAACCATCCCCTTAGTCACGCAATGAATATTAACTAACCTGATCTCTTAAACATTAGTTTGGTAGTGGCCAAACAATCCTTTTAATCACTAGACGGATAACGACCAAACCTGTTCTCTTAAACATTGGTTTGGTAGCGGGACAAACTATTCCCTCAATCACTTGATGGATAATAACCGAACCTGTTCTGTCAAAGACTAATTTGGTAGTGGGACAAACCATCCCCCTAATCACGCGATGAATATTAACTAACCTGATCTCTTAAACATTAGTTCGGTAGTGGCCAAACAATCCTTTTAATCAATAGATGGATAACGACCAAACCTGGTCTTATAAACACTGGTTTGGTAGAAGGGCAAACAATCCCTTAGTTACCAGATGAATAACGACTAAAACTGTCCTCTTAAACACTTGTTCGGCAGTGGGACAAACCATCCCCTTAACCAATAGATGGATAATGAACAAAACTGTTCTTATAAACACTGGTTTGGTAGTGAGACAAACCATCCCCTTAATCACTAGATAGATAATGACCAAACCTGTTCTCTTAAACATTGGTTTGGTAGTGAGACAAACCATCCTCTGAATCACTAGATGGATAATGACCAAACCTGTTCTCTCAAATTCTGGATTGATAGTGGGACAAACCATCCCCCTAATTACTAGTCGGATAGTAGCCAATCATGTTGTATCTTAGACATTGGTTTGGTAGTGGGACAGACCATCTTTTTAATCACTAGATTGATAGTAGCCAAACTTATCTTCTTTTAGCTTTATGATGATTCGGAGATGGACATCAATGTGTATAGCCATGCAAGTCAATCATTTTTACATTTAACAAAAACTGAATAAATTCAATTAAAGGGAAATCAGGTCCTTAGTTATATTAGGAACAGTGTTTAGAGTAAATGTTAAAGTTTTGATGCACATTTTGAAATCAGCCCTTGACTATATTTGTCATGCAAATGTAATGATTCAACACGTCTCACGTGGCTGAATTGAAGTTGAAACATTGTAACATTGAAACAGACACATTGCAACATTGAAACTGACACATAGTAACATTGAAACTGACACATTGTAACATTAAAGTTGATACATTGTAACATTGAAACTGACACATTGTAACATTGAAACAGACACATTCATTACAACATTGAAACTGACACATTGTAACATTGAAGTTGATACATTGTAATATTGAAACTGACACATTGTAACATTGAAACCGACACATTGTAACATTGAAGTTGATACATTGTAACATTCAGAACTACGTATTTAATGTCCATGGGCGTGATACAATGTCAGTGAACAGTAATTACAAGCTCAGTCTGACATGGCGAATCTGACCGATTTCATCTTCATGTGAGACAATGTGTTGTAACACTACATAAATAAAGGTGGTAATTTTCATATTCTAAAGAGGAAAGTCAGTCTTTTATTTGTCCAATTACAGAAAGTGGGAAAGAGTTTTCGAACAGGTTTATATGACAATATTTGTTGTAGCGTTTCAATGTTGTTTTATTGGTAAAACCCAGTATGTCTGCTGGGGGATATCAGGCAGGTAATGAGATAAACTGTAGTATTTCATGGAAGTGGATCATTTTGCAAATAACGTGACCTTGCTACTGTATCGGCTTTTGAGACCATTTTTATCCTATTTCCTACTGAATATTTGGGGAGTCTGTTCATCTTCTCACGAGTTTCCCTTCTCGCGTTGCCATCTATGCTGCTTCCAAGACTGGCTCATAATATACTACTTTTTCAAAACTAGTTATAATAATTATAAAATTTTACATCCGTGTTGTTAGTTTATATGTACGATTTATTTGTAAAATCATAAAGCATTCCCAGTTTTCATGTTTTTCAATTATTTTAAGTATTACCTATTATGTAATTTCGACTAATTATATCTATGTATTATATAAGTATGTAAGTCATGGGATTGGTCGTTTTTCTGACATTTTGAGAAGGAAATATTGAATCTGACAGACATAATCTTAGATCAGAGTGGAAATATAAGTACCAAACAATACATGTATATAGGCCATCAAGTATTAGCATGGCTTCTTTACAAAATTTGCAGTGTGATATACTGTAATAGCTGAATACATGTATCTGTATTTAGCATTTTTTATCAACTCTCCTTTCTTTCCAGATGCCACGGTTGCACTTCTGTCTAGTCAAATATTCCGGGGCGACATTTGCCTTTTTCTATTAAACGTCCAAATATTATTAAACCCCCTCCCCGCAACGAAGTTAGTGGGGTATACTGAAATCAGCTTGTCTGTCCATAGAATTCGTTTGTCCGGACAACTCCTTCTAAAGTAATGGACCGATTTCAAAGATAATTTTCATATATGATATCTACCACCTGAAGTTGTGTATCCAAGTATTATGTTTTTCATTTTGTCTCTTTTTACGGTGTTATGGCCCTTTGTTGAAAAATCCTTAATGATACCTTTTCCCCCCTCATATTTCCAATTTTAGGATATGTCGGCTTGATGGGGATTTATTAGTTTGTCCTCATTATGATAGGCTGGTAAACAGGCCGAAGTTTTTATGAAGAATTTCTCAACTGCATTTTACTACTAGCTTATCTCCCCCTAGTTTAGAACTTAGAATTAGACATCCAAGTGATCAAAATTTTAAGTGGATTTTTTCTAGAATAAAATAAAATAAGTGAACAACTCAGTAAATAAAGAAATCATTATTGATGGATTACTTTGATGGATTACTTTGCAATACTTTGCCTTAGTAAGCCTTCAGCTTACAGTTCTGATGTATATAGGAGCAGGGGTACTAGTTAGCCTTTGGCTTTCAGTTCTAGCTTTTCTAAGAACCAAGGTGGCTGGATTATCAAGGCGCCACTGTATAAAGAACTAAAACTGTATCGATAAAAGCTGTATCCACTGCTCTTCTAAAGCCTCTGCGGTATCATAAGTGTAATTTCAGCAAGATATGAGTGACTGACCTTAGACATAGTTTCTTTATTGAGGGAGGGTGTACATAACATTTCCTCATACACATATTGTTAACCTGAAAAACCAAGACCACAAAGGTGGTGAAATGAAAATGAGGTGTCACCTAGTAAATGTCATTTGATAACACAAAGTAACACCCTATGTTGTTATATATATACACACTGAAGTAAACCATGTGCTAACACAAAATAACTTCCTATGTTGTTTTATATATTTGCACTGAAGTAAACCATGTGATAACACAAAGTAACTTCCTATGTTGTTTTATATATTTGCACTGAAGTAAACCATGTGATAACACAAAGTTTATTTCTAAACATTTTCCTCTGGTTGGTAACTATGGATTATGAAAAGTTCGTTTAACACAACCAATAAGAATATCTGTGTGGCGTTTCGATGACTAGTATGATATGTACACTGTCACCTCCATCAGACAAATGACCAGTGAAGTGTATGGACACAAAAGTGTAAAATGTGTATGAGTAGTCCACAAAATCGATGTTTTTTCAGTTACGCTGTAAGAGTTTTGTTGTTATATATGTACCAAAATGACTCGATTCAGCTACGTTTTGTTTAATACTTGGTCATAGATGTGCACAAGTCCAAGTCTTTCAGCCCCCTCATCTCGATTCAGAACTGGCCCACTGCAGCGTATCAAGATGGCTTCCTTTATCTGCCGCTTGAACAGATTGCTCTCTCTTTCCAAAACTTTGGAGTTATCCCAGTCAATCACATCACTTTTCTGTGCGACATGGTCTGTGTATGCCGATTTATTTATCTGGGATTCCGACTGCTTCCTTTCTGATCTGGTGAATTTCCTACCTTCTTGGGTTTCTGTATCTTTCCAGTATTCACCAAGGCAGACCCCTTGTCGCCTTCCAGTCTCTCCAATATATGATGCGTCACTTTTTTTCATCCAATTTTGTATACGCATTCTGCAACGTTTTCTTTAGGTTTTTCCTTAGGGTGTATTAGGATATAACGAAGTGTCTTGTGAGGCTTTATGGCTGTTGCTATGCCACGACAGCAATATATCCTCTGGATGGTTTCGGACATACCCTTTATATACGGGATGACCACTTGATCTTTGGTTTTGTTCTTATCCTTGATTGGCCTTTTCTTGTTCTTCCCCTTACTTTGACACTGTTTTTGTACCCGTTTCAGGGCCTGTTCCAGATATACACATGTTCTTTGGCCAAAGTAGCCTGCGTTAATTTTCTTCCCACATTTTCTCTCCCTTGTTATGTATTTCAACATAGTGCACACATGTCAATATTTTCTCATGAAATTTTGTTTAATAAAAATATTAATTTCACACACTCCTCATTTGTAATCATTTATTCAATATTGTTTTCTGCAAAAACAAACAACAATGCATCTAAAGTGAACAAATTCCTGCTGATGTACAGATAATAACAGTTCATGCGTGTGACATCATCAGAAAGTCTAGATTTCATTGTTTGTATAAACTTCATTAATTAACAATAGCACTAGTATGATAAAGATATTCATCCATTTATTTCTTTGACTCATCTATCACAACTTCGAAGAGATTCGGAAACTCAACACCAGGTCTATATTTGAATAATTTCCTACCAATGTATGTGTTACTCTTCACCTTAGAAAGTTTGACATCTTAATGGATACAAGCCCATCATCCTGTTACACTTGTTCCAATTTTGTATAATGAACATGTTTTTGCGACTCAGTAAAATATGTATTTATATATCGAGGGGTCGTAACATTTTCTCCTATACATCTCCACTCTCGAGTCAATTTCAACAGGAAGGAACAGACAGTGGTACTTAGAGTTAGGGAATCGTGCCTGTATTCTCCTCTTAATCTGCTAAATATTTGATTGTGATTCAATACAAGCATGTGAAGTGTCCTGGTATAAAACATATTCCTCTTTATGAATTCTAACTGTATATATCTCTTATTTCATTTCCCCCCCAATTATAATGACAAGGGAAATTAGAAAAATATATATGCATAACTTCTTACATTTCAAATATGTATCAAGTTTTCATTTGCTTTAAAAACCTTAAAAGTAAAAATACCAATTTACAATGTTTAATTCAGAATTTCTACAAACAAAAATACCCACAATTTGCAAAAATAAAATGTTTCCATATTTGAAAGATACATGCTTTAGGGGATTCTCGTCCCATTTCTTACCCCTCTTCATTTCTGTTCTGGGCCCCTTTCTTGTATCAGGTTCAACCTGTTAGTCTGTTTTTAATGTAACACTTTCATGTATATGCAGGCCATGCAAGACTTTGTCATAACTCGCCTAAAAGCAGCATCAGATTACTGGGTCTGACCTTATTTCATAAAGGAACAACACTAGTCCAACTGGTTCAACCGTTTGGATCGGGATACACGAATGCGGCCCAGATCTAATCAAAATTCAGTAAATAACAACCTTAACCACTCGATCGAACATTTAGGAAAACAATATTGATATATGCGTACAGTAAAGCCTACCTAGTTTCATACCCTGTGAGACATTAGTCAGATAAGACAAGAGGTCGGAATACACAAACTACATTTGGTAGCATTCATTAGAAATGGTGTCACAACATTATGCTGTGTTATACAAAGTGTTGGAATACACAGGCCTCATGTAAGACAGTTCTTGCTGAGTTTAATTACCGAGTGAATCAGAGACATACTTTCCAGTCAATCAATACATAATTTAACTGGTAAAATGAAACAATGACATTGATACAGTTAAGGTATTTGGAAAAAAGTAGAAAAAAAGTGAACATTGGTTCAGGAGCGCAAACATCAAGTTTATTTTACAATGACAGCTCTTGGGGAAACAGTACAGCTTGCCTATTCAAAGGATATTACAAAAGCTATTTAGTCAAAAAGAGTAAACATCTTTTCAATTGATATTTTTATTTTGGTTTGACTACACTGCCACGTCAGATCCCTTGGGAACCTCTATGCAAACTATCAGTACTGTAGTATAAATACCAAATGGTACGCAAAACTTAAACCTGGCAACGCAGGTACAAACAGAACTACACAAGTTTATCTGTTCTTCAAATAGGCAGCCGAAAAATGTCCATTATCATTGAATTATTTAAAGAAACATTTTATGACAGCAACAAATCTGACAGTATGAAAAGCAAAATATTATTTTCTGTATAAATACATCGTCATTAAGTTTTAAAATATGATATAAAGGGATTTATTAACAGGTATCGGAAACTAATTTGTTCTTTTTATCATGCAACAACAACTCAGCATTTTAAAAACTCAGACACTTCAGAACTGTTTCCACGACAACATGTTTAGTCTATAATGTTGAGTCTAACAAGTCTAACAAGTAGACTCGTCAGCTGTGGGATTACAACATTGGTTGGCAAATTTCGAATGTCACACTACCAATTGTATTCCTTTGGAATGTCATTTAATCCACAGGAGTTCCCAAGCATAAATACATGATGACATATTTACATTGAGCTCTTCAAACTTATGCCAAACATGATTTCTTTCTCTTTTATGAGGATTTGAACATTGAAAGGAACAATCATAAGTCACTACCGGCTTATTAAAACAATATCGTATTTCTGTTTTTGGTTCTAAAAAAATATGGTGGATTGGTTGAAGTCAGAAAGCAAAAACTTGCAAAACACTTCTACAAGACAGTGTGTTAGGCATACTAATAAACAGACTTTAAAAATCCAAGTTTAGGTTTACCTAATTCCAGCAAATGTTGAAAGTCTGATATTAACACTTTACCGTCTGATATTATCACTTTCACTTTTTGAAACATTTTCTCAAGTTTTCACTCCCCCCCCCCCCCCCCCCTGCCGTCGCCTAAGACAGGAATTGGTTTATGCCTCCCAATGTATTATGCACATAGTTGTAAAAAAAGGTTCAAAATGGGTTTTTTCTAGCTCTGCTGTTCCATTGATGTCTTAGTAACGGTACACAAATATACCATTTCCTTTTAATTCACTATTTCCTTAGTTCCTTCATTTTTTCAAGGAGTGTGTCGGCATCTTCGGGGGTCTTGACTCTGATAAGCATAGGAGTGGCCTTGGGATCTTCCTTGGTGTCAAGGGGCGGGTTGGGAACACACATTATGCTCACATTGTTCTTGCCCTGGCGACTCAAGGGTAGTGAGCTAGATAGAATTATATTCAATAAGATGTTCCCTGAAACATAAGAATTATCTCAAGTTAGTTCAGAAAATTAGCCAGGTGGCATAGGACTAGAAGCTAGCACCTGATAAAGCAGCTGCTGCTAATTCCTCAAAATTGTACTGATTAATGTATATGTAAATGCATATGCTAATTGTATTAATTGTATATCTATGTACTGTAAAGCACTTCAGAGTGGCTTGTTCTAGCTAGATAGGGCACTATATCAAATGTTGCATATTATTATTATTTTTATAATAATACAGGTCATTTAAGTGAATCTTTTATGTTGCAGATACTACATACTGTATATCAGGAAACCTTCCATAATACAAAATATTTGCCCAGCGTTACATTCACCGCTCACATGTAATTTTTATATGTGGCATGTGCACTAATATTTGCTTTCATAATAAAATTGCCCTTCTCATGGAGGGAAACGTCCAAAGTTATACTGCAATGAAAACATTTCCCAAATTAACAGTGTATTCTAGAATAAAGGTCCATTGTCACCTTTATTATACCTTTTTTTCTTTTTTACACCATATAAAAGTAGAAAATAGAAATGCTATTCAAAATAACCTCTTTCAAGAAACTATTTACCAGGTAAATAGTCATTAGAGCTATTTACCCGGGATGAGATATTTAACCTGCATTCAAATTTTCACAGAATTTTGGGTTTCGTTCATTCTGATTTAATTTGTTGTTGGTATAATAAAACAGCTGTTTTATTGGTATTATTATTTATTGTCTTCTGAGACATTGACTATTTCCTGAGGCAAATGAAGATTTTGTTTGTTTAATTCTCATGAAAATGCTATTTTTTTCACAAAGATTTCTGTATTTTACCCTGCAAGACATATAACTGATACATAGACATATGTATATATACAACAAGAGGCCCAGAGGGCCTGTATCGCTCACCTGGATATGTTTAAAGTACTTAATATGAGGTAAAGATATAGCACTCCATCGTAGGTACTGTATGTACAAACTTCAAATGTCAAAATATAAAATGGCGGCCTGGTGGCCATCTTGTTTAAATGAATACACCCTAATAGTAACAGGCACTACTAGACAACTTGATGGAGACAAAATTGGGATAAAATCCCAATAATCCCTATGGTAGAAGAAGGATTTTAAAAGCTTTACCTCTATTCCCCATATTGGAGCTCACCCCTCTGGACTGGGAGCCGGTGCACTGTTTATACAAAATTGAGTGCCCTCGGCCTAAGGGTGCTCCAGACCAAATTGGGATGAAATCCCTCAATCCCTATGGTAGAGGAAGGATTTTAAAGGTTTACCTCTATTTCCCCTATTTGGACCTTCCCCTCTGACTCCAATGTGGCCACACCCTCTGTTTATACAAAGATGAGTCCCCTTGGCCTAAGGATGCTTCAGACTAAATTAGGATAAAATCCCTTTGTTCCTACACTAGGAGAAGGATTTTAAAGGTTTACCTCTGTTTCCCCTGGGGGCCCTACTCCTCTGCTCCAAGGGGGGCAACACCCAACATTTATACAAAATTGAGTCCCCTTTGCCCAAGGATGCTTCAGACTAAATTAGGATAAAATCTCTTTATCCCTATGCTAGAAGAAGGATTTTAAATTTTTACCTATATTTCCCCTATTGGGTCCGCTCATCTGCCCCAAGGGGGGCCACACCAACCGTTTATACAAAATTGAGTGCCCTTGGACCCAAGATGCTCTTGGCTAAATAACGATAAACTCCCTTAATCCTTATGGTAGAAAAGGATTTTAAAGGTTTTAACTATATTTCCCCTATTGGGCCCCGCTCCTCTGCCCCAGGGGGGCCACACCCACCATTTATACAAAATTGAGTCCCCTTGGCCTCAGGATGCCCCAGACCAAATTTAGTTAAATTCCACTACGCTGTTCAGAACTAGTAACGTTTTAAACGAAAAGTTGACGGACGGAGGGCGACGGGTGGACTACGGACGGAGGGCGACGGGTGGACTACGGACGGAGGGCGACGGGTGGACTACGGACGGAGGGCGACGGGTGGACTACGGACGGAGGGCGACGGGTGGACTACGGACGGAGGGCGACGGGTGGACTACGGACGGAGGGCGACGGGTGGACTACGGACGGAGGGCGACGGGTGGACTACGGACGGAGGGCGACGGGTGGACTACGGACGGAGGGCGACGGGTGGACTACGGACGGAGGGCGACGGGTGGACTACGGGCGGACGACAGCCCTTCGGACAGGTGAGCTAAATATATTAGAAATTGGGAATTGTTGAAAGGGAAATACTTTTATTAATGATCGATCTGTGATGAGGTCTGAAATGTTTATAAGGAATATGCCAATTGTGGATGATAGGGATATCAGGGGTCACAAAAACTGCCTGCCTGCCACCACTCCTCCCGAATGAACTGTATCTACCTCCCTGCCTTCACTCCTCCCGAACAAACTGTATCTAGTTAAACTTTAAGATCATAATATGACTTCCGAAAATTTAATCAACAGCTGTAATTATTATGTTACACACAACTGCTTGGTAGCCTCAGTAAGAGATGCAGAGTTTTTCCTCAGTAATGTAGGAAATGCTGCCTACAGATGATAAAAAAAGATGTGTCTAGAATTGTCTAAATCCCCAATTTTCCTGTGTTTTTTTTTTCAAACTTTCCTTCTTATTAGAAAGCAAAAAACCTCCAAATACAAGAGATCAGTCAAAACTCTTTTCCCTAACAGGAAAAAACCTAGAAGGCTATATAAACCGAACCAAATAAGTGTGGCAAACAGCTGTACAGAGTGTTCTGTCAGGATATCAATGTTACCATACCTAAGCTGGTATCAGCTCGTACTACAAGCTGTATTTTGTCGTCAGCCTTTTTTAGATGTAGAAACCCTACTCCACGTTCTTTCCAGGCCCCATCCTTCTGGTAGAACAGCTTGCATCTGGAACAAAACATTTTACATATTGCTTAATTTTCTAAATGATCTATTTGTGTATTATTTCTTTCAAAATTTTTCAATACATTATAATCCCCTCCCCAACCCCAGAGAATTTCCTTTTAATTATGACAATCGCAAGCATTTCAAAAACAACAGAAACACATTTAAGTATATCAATCAATAGAATATTACTTTAAAACAAGAAAGAAGCCATCTAACATTTAAATAGCAGTAAATATATACAGAATTTATCTAATTCTAAACTCCATCTCTTGCTTTCTAAAGTGTTTGCTGACCCAGTTTTAAAGGACATACAATGACATAATTCACTGAAACTAATAGATTTATATACAATGTACATGTGAATACCGTTTTAATAGATATCAGTTAGGATGAAAAATCTGTCAATACCCTCGATATGATAACCCATAACTAACAGTGTAGACAGACAAAGATTACTGACAAAGACTATGGACAGACGAAAATTACTTACCAAGACTATGGACAAAGACTACTCACAAAGACTATGGACAGACAAAGATTACTGACCAAGACTATGGACAAAGATTACTGACAAAGACTATGGACAGACAAAGATTACTCACAAAGACTATGGACAGACAAAAGATTACTGACCAAGACTATGGACAAAGATTACTGACAAAGACTATGGACAGACAAAGATTACTGACAAAGACTATAGACAGACAAAGATTACTGACCAATACTATGGACAAAGATTACTGACAAAGACTATGGACAAAGATAACTGACCAATACTATGGACAAAGATTACTGACCAAGACTATGGACAGACAAAGATTACTGACAAAGACTATGAACAGACAAAGATTACTGACCAATACTATGGACAAAGATTACTGACCAAGACTATGGACAAAGATTACTGAAAAAGACTATGGACAGACAAAAATTACTTACCAAGACTATGGACAGACAAAATTTTGTTGTTATGGCTTACTTGATTGTGTGTAAAGCTCCTTCCTCTTTGACCTCTGTTGATTCTGGCTTTGGGGGTTCATACTCTTCCTCTGCTGCATCTGAATCAGACAAGCAGAAATGTACATCTGTTAAAGGCCTGGTTTGATACTGTATTTCTATAAACACCTTGGGCCTGTTAGTTTATGTGGAACAAACGCTTTGGCTGGGTTTTTTTAAAGTAACATTTTTGGGTATTCGGTCTTTGCGTATTGCAGAGTTATCTTCTCTTGGGAGCAGGTATTGATTGTTACGTCATTGGTTTGTGTGAGAAAATTACGTCGCTGTCTCAAACATTGATGACGTTACTCTCACAAACAAGTGACATAACAATCAATACCTGCTCCCAAGAGAAGATAACTCTGCAATACGCAAAGACGAAATAAATCCTGACAGACACTGAAAATGTTTATGCAGGCAATGCAAGGCTTTGTCATGGCTCGCCTGGGAACGGCATCAGATTACTAGATCTGACCGTATTTTGTAAATGACCTACAAAAGTGGCCCCCGATTTCAATGTAGGAATAAGGGAGAACTATACTTTGTATATTGCCTTCCAAAAAGCAGGGATGTACAGTTTCTAATCAAGAATACTAGCCCACAGGCATACTCTGGAGTGTTCTACTAGCACACCTTTATTTCCATAGTAAATATTTAAAATTTTCACTAGTCATGACATAAAATCTACTAGCCCTGGGCATCAGTGTAGAGGAATTGTACGCTCCTGCAGGATAATGGCATTCAATAATTAATATGATTGAAAGTTTTTAACAAAATGTTAAAAGTTTAGGTCTCATATGAATAGAATAAGGTGCTTCATTGTTATTATCTGATTTAAGTAGTAAATATAAAAAAAAAAAAATTCCCTAGTATCAGCTATAACCAGGAGGTAAGGGGACAAAACCTAAAGACACATTGACAGGCAAAAAGAGGAAAGGAGTCTAAAATCAGATCAGATGGGGGGGGGGGCTTTACCTTGTGAGGAACCCATAGCACCTGTAGATTGACCAACAGCAAAAAACGGTGAAGGTTTAGTTCCAAGATTAGACTGTAGATTAAATCCCGAAAATCCAGTGACAGTAGCGCCGAATGTGGAGCCTCCATTAGCTCCCTTAGTACCATCAGATGGTGCTGAGGCAGCCTTCGTAGACCCGAAGCTGAATCCACTGCTGGGTGTTGCTGTTGCAGACGTTCCGAATGAGAATGCAGGTTTAGTGGAGGACAAAGCAGGCTCAACTCCTGAAGTAAATTATTTTGACATAAAGTTTATGTATTCAGAGCAAGATAATAAATAGGTTTAATATCACTTAATTGTCTTGAAAACATATACTTTTAAAGAACAACAGGTGCATGCATTATCTTACAATTTAATATTCCACCCCTTTAAATATTAATTGTTACATTTTCATTTAAAATAATTTTAACAACCTTTAAAACTCTGCACATCCTACCTGTAGTGACAGTAGAAAAAGTAGTGGCTGTCTTACTTTCCATCCCATTATTCTTGCCTGTTTTCTCAGATTTCTCCTTTTCAAGTTCATCAAGATGTTTTTCATAGTCTTTGAATATTGGAGTCAAAATACAGTATGCATTTTTTTCCACATGTTTCTGTATCCATGACAACACACTCTCGTTAAGTTTCTTCAGATTCTCTGAATATGCATTGCAGGTGACACTATCTCCACTTTCTGTCTTAGCTGAGCCATTACTGGCTGGTGTGGACTTGACTGGGTTGGGGGCTGGAACCCCCTTGACAGGGGGAATCACACTGGCTGCCGTTTCTTTTGTTTCTGACTGGCCATTTGTCACCGATTTGACGTTGAAGCTGAATGGGGTACTTGTTGATGTGGGTTTGAAGCTGAAACCTGAGAATCCGGTGAATGACCTGCTTCCTCCCTGTGAAAATGAAATACAATGTATTTTGTGTTAATTGAAAACATGTAATCAACATAAAGTCTTTTAGGTCATATTCGTGTTTCCCGGTAGAAACGGTTCAGGTGGCGCAGAAATATTCCATAATATATAAACGCACTTGGACAGAACTATAGGCGAAGCCAAAAATACACAGTTTCAGAGATTAAATAACAATATATCAAGAATGATATGTCTTTCTTTCACATGTCCACTTATTATATAAATTATATACCCTGGTAATGGCTTTAAAATCTACATGTGGCTTGACCTTGTTTTAAAAAGAAATAATGCAAACTAGCAATAGTCAGCTTTTTAGTTTTGGTCAGGCACGTCTGGACCACCTCAATCTACACGTGCCGAATATTCCTGAGGTCAGCCTCGGTTCAGATCTACGCCTGTCGTTTTCTTTCAGGTTCAACTGTTTCAACTGGTTAAACTGGATACAGGAAAGGGGCCTTATTGAGGTCATATATAACAAGAGATCTGATCATGAATGGACCATTGACCAGCTGACAAGAAATTAAACTGAAATGAGAAATCTTATTTGATGATTAGAATGAACAGGAATAGGGTGAAAGTGAGATTTTTTTTCTAACCTCTGCAGTGCTGCTTTTTCTTTTGGCTTTAATGATCTGTCTCTGTTTGATTGTGTTCGATGAGGCCTGTACAAACTGTCCTGCCTGAAGGAGAAACATACTACACATGTCATATTAGCCAATCATCAACATCTAACATAATACAGAATGTTACGAACATCTACATACTCGAGCTCTCTAGCATACATGTGTGGTTTGACCAAAACGGTAGCCTGGCAGCTTAAGGATGCCAAAATATTGAGCTGGGATACACAGATCTCTCAGCTAGGTATACCAAGACTCCTTTATATAGCAAACAAGGGCAAAGTAAAATCTTACAAACTGCCCAGTCTACAGGACATGCATGTTAAAAATAGTATATAAACTACCAAGCTATCATGGCAAACATTTGATACAAATGATACAAGCTGACACTGCCCAGACCTTCAAGGGACTGTCTAAGTGTACATGTTATACATCAGATACAAGCTGACACTGCCAAGACCCTATAAGGGACTGTCTTAGTGTACATGTTATACATCAGATACAATTTGACACTGCCAAGACCCTATAAGGGACTGTCTTAGTGTACATGTTATACATAAGAAACAATTTGACAATGCCCAGACCCTACAAGGGACTGTCTTAGTGTACATGTTATACATAAGAAACAATTTGACAATGCCCAGACCCTACAAGGGACTGTCTTAGTGTACATGTTATACATCAGATATAAGCTGACACTGCCCAGACCCTACAAGGGACTGTCTTAGTGTACATGTTATACATCAGATACAAGCTGACACTGCCCAGACCTTATAAGGGACTGTCTTAGTGTACATGTTATAGATCAGATATAAGCTGACACTGCCCAGACCCTACAAGGCACTGTCTTAGTGTACATGTTATACATAAGATACAAGCTGACACTGCCCAGACCCTATAAGGGACTGTCTTAGTGTACATGTTATACATCAGATACAATTTGACACTGCCAAGACCCTATAAGGGACTGTCTTAGTGTACATGTTATACATAAGATACATGCTGACACTGCCCAGACCCTATAAGGGACTGTCTTAGTGAACATGTTATACATAAGATACATGCTGACACTGCCCAGACCCTATAAGGGACTGTCTTAGTGAACATGTTATACATAAGATACATGCTGACACTGCCCAGACCCTATAATGGACTGTCTTAGTGTACATGTTATACATAAGATACAATTTGACACTTCCCAGACCCTATAAGGGACTGTCTTAGTGTACATGCTATACATAAGATACATGCTGACACTGCCCAGACCCTATAATGGACTGTCTTAGTGTACATGTTATACATAAGATACAAGTTGACACTGCCCAGACCCTATAAGGGACTGTCTTAGTGAACATGTTATACATAAGATACATGCTGACACTGCCAAGACCCTATAAGGGACTGTCTTAGTGTACATGTTATACATAAGATACATGCTGACACTGCCCAGACCATATAAGGGACTGTCTAAGTGTACATGTCTAGTCTAAGTTACTGATCTTGTACAAACCTCCTCTGGCTCATCCTCATGGTCCCAATTCCTGTCTGTCAGTTCTGTTGTGGCTGTTCGTTTTGCCATCTTCCCTTGTAGTTTTGGTCTGCATATTAAGAAATAATGTATGTGTATGTAAATATATAATAAGGCGGACAAATGCAGCAAATTTTAACAATCGTCATACTGTTTATGCATTTGTTTCTCCTATGCTGGGCTAAATGTAATAATTCATGGATTTTCCTACACTTAACAGAGTTAAAGGTCTTTTATACTGGAAATTTGGTGCCATGAATAGCAAAAACTGAAAAATGATTGGTTTAGGATTTTTTCATTTGAGTCCTGATCATGAACGTTATTGGTGAGTCCCATGTATTACTAAGACATTTAGTGAACCCTCAAAATCTGGGCCAGCCACACAGGAAAAGCAGGAGTTCAGGGCCCGTATTTATGAAACCGTTCTCATGCTCAAGCATGGATTTTGTGCTGAAGCCTTATTTCTTGTTCTGGTTATAAATGATAAACAAATACTATTTTGTCAATGATTTGGAAAACAAGAGATCCCAGAGGAATCTTGGTGACCACCCTTGTACATTAGTTTTATGTCAGTTCGATCTTTTCTCATCTTTTCTCTTATCCGTTTGATCAGTTTGCCTGTCCGCCATCTTCATCAATCTTTTTATCAACCTCAAAAGTTAACATGCACAACTCAGGATCAAGGGGAACCTACATATCAAATTTGAGAAAAATTCCTCCAGTTAATTCTGAGAAATAGCGATAACAAACTTAACCTGTAACAAAATGACCAGCCGATATGATTTGATATGCATAACTAAGAACAAGAAGAACCCTTATGTGAAATTTGAGAAAGATCCCTCCAATAGTTTTTGAGCAAAAGGGCTAAAACACTTTTACTCCCAAATTCAATATGACCAGCTGCCAGCCATCTTGGTTTTCCAATCATCCCAAAAATTCAAAATGCAGAACTATAAGCTATTGGGAACCTAGTCATGTGAAATTTGAGAAAGACCCATCCTGATCATTCTGAGAAGTAACGCTAACAAAATTTCATTCCCAAATTCAAGATGGCCATCTGTTGGCCATCTTGGTTTCCCTTCTGTCCCAAAATTTAATATGCCTAATTGTATATATATATATATTAGTGACCATGGGGAACTTTCATGTAAAATTTGAGAAAGACCCCTCCAGGACTTTCTGCAAAACAGCACTAACAAACTAACTCTCAAATTCAAGATGACTGCCTGTCGGCCAATTTGGTTTTATGATCAGTCCCAAAAAAAGGCATAACTAGGGACGATGGGGAACCTACATGTAAAATTTGAGAAATATCCCTCCAATACTTTATGAGAAATAGCACTAACAAACTTTCATTCTCAAATTCAAGATGGCTGGCTGTCGGCCATCTTGGTTTTGTGATCAGTCCCAAAAAACAATATGCATAACTAGGGACGATGGGGAACCATCATGTAAGATTTGAGAAAGATCCCTCCCATACATTCTGAAAAATAGTGCTAACAAACTTTAACTTTCAAATTAAAGATGGCTGCCTGTCTACCATTTTGGTTTTGCGATCAGTCTCAAAAAACGATATGCATAACTAAGGATCGTGAGAAACCTCCATGTGAAATTTAAGAAAGATCCCTCCAGTACTTTCTGAGAAATAGCACTAACAAGAATTGTTTAAGGATGGACAGATGACAGACCGAATGACGGACGATGGACCACTGCAGACGCAGGGTGATTTTAATAGCCCACCATCATAAAAAAAAGTCGAAGACACTTAAAGCCAAATACTGTTTTCCATGTTTACATTTGACTTTTTGATCATTTGACATAATTTACAAGAAAGTTGGTCTGAGCACAAAATCCATGCTTGAGCATGAGAACGGTTTCATGAATACAGGCCCTCGACTTTGATGTATCTCTTTCCCAAAAATCATCTCAGATATGCATTGAAAAATACTTTTTTTTTTCAATTTGGAATCCAACTGTTACTGAAAAAGTTGGGAAATATTACTTGAATTTAGGCAGAGAATGTGTCAGTTTTTAGTACCTGGTTGAAAAACAGCCAACAGCTATAACTTTCTTCTACGTATTAAGTGTTTTTACATGAGCATGGTCATAGTTTTTGAAAGTTGATTGTACATGTGATAACAAATATTTTTATCTGCATAGAAAGATATTGATTTTGATGGCTTCATGGTTATAAAAAATAATTTGTTCATTTTTTTAACAAATTTGAACCCTGTTACTTTGAAACAGGTCAAAACCATTTATTCAAACTTGCTACTCCTTTATCAAAGCATGCTACTGGCCAAATATATAAGCATCCTAGTACAAATTTTACACCCAAGGCTATATTAAAGTTGTTTTCACCAATATAGTCCAAAAATAGGAAATGGATCATCAGGTCCACTACAAGGAAAGTCACCAGTGATGTCCTGTGTTTATTAGCAGATACAGGTTATTCATATGTACTGTAGTTGGCATCTGTGAATGGAACATCAATTAACAGGTCAGGCATAACTGTTATTTTAACCTATATTCTGCTATAAAGCCAACTAATCTGTCACTTCTTCTAGATCTTCATCAGATAAAAGTTAAACATAAAAGAAAAAATACAGCTATATTAAACCATGTAGAAATGAAACAAGTCCAAAAGACAAGATAATTCACTAAGCAAACATAATTTAAATATGTGCCATTCATAATATTTTTACTCATGCATGTTTGGGGAAAGGATATAGTCCTGCAGAATCGGGGCTGGTTTCATTGAAGAAACAAAGAATAGACATCCTGTATATATCTTATATTACTGCATGTGACTAATGTAGGGCCCCCTGCAGAGCTCAGGGGTTATATATTATGGAGCCCCTGTTGAGTCCGGGGATTATAAATGTGGGGCCCCCTGCAGAGCTCAGGGGTTATAAATTATGGGGCCCCTGCAGAGTCTGGGGGTTATAAATGTGGGGCCCCCTGCAGAGCTCAGGAGTTATAAATGTTGGGCCCCCTGCAGAGCTCGGGGGTTATAAATGTGGGGCCCACTGCGGAGTCCGGGGATTATAAATGTGGGGCTCCCTGTCGAGTCCGGGGGTTATAAATGTAGGGCCCCTTGTCGAGTCCGGGGTTATAAATGTGGGGCCCCCTGCCGAGTCAGGGGGTATAAATGTGGGGCCCCCTGCCAAATCCGGGTGTTTTTAATGTGGGGCCATCTGCCGAGTCCGGTTTTTTTAAAATGTGGGGCCATCTGCGGAGTCTGGGGGTTATAAATGTAAGGTCCCCTTATGTCCCCATTGCATAACCTGGGATCTGTTTTGTTTTCCATCTTTCCTGGGTTCTTTCTTTTCTATTTACTTGCTGCACCAGAATAAATATTATCATTATTACCAATTGAGGGAAATTTCCTCTAGCAAGAAACCAGAAGTAGGGCTGGGTATCAGGAAGTAACACTGTATTGTTATATTTAACTAAGGGTAGATTCGCGTATCCGGTTGAAACGGTTGAACCTGTACAGAAAACGACAGGCACAGATCTGAACCGAGGCTGACATCAGGAAAATTTGGCATGTGTAGATTGAGGGGTCCAGACATACCTGACCAAAACTAAAGTGCTGAATATTGCTAATTTGCGTTATTTCTTTCGAAAACAATGTCGAGGGGACTATGTTTTAAGTTGGATATAAGCCTCAAACTGATCATTAAGTGAGAAAAAGATCAGGTATCGGCCCTACTCCAACAATGTTAGAGGTTTTACACGGCGAAAAACTTTTGACAGGCGCCGCGGGCAAAATCATATCCGATTGAAAAAAGGCCGACCAGCGGCCTCTCATGTTATGGGAGTAGTATCGGCCCTAACCATTACTGAGTAACCGGCCTCAGCAACTGTCCTTTCTCTCACTTATTGGACAGTTTTCAGCTAATGTCCATAACATAAAATGTTTTAAATCTGTTGAAAAATAAGTAGTTTGTCTAGTTTGTCAGAATAACTAAATGCAGAAAAACCCCAGACATCTACGTGTGGAATGAGGGCAAAGAACATGGCTAAATTTCATATAAAACCTTCAGGCTGGGGTTTATAAAACCCTGCTAGTTCCATGACTAAAATACTTAGTCAGCTCAACAGTTTTTACCTAGATAAAGATCTGTGCAGTTTTAAAAGCTCATCACCCTACCCGATAGCAAAACTTGATCTTATGCCAAGTACCCACGGCATATGACTTCCTTCAAAATTAGACATGCTTACAATGTCAAACGGGAACAAAAGTATTATACTGCATAAACAAATCGCAAACTGCGTAAATGGTGATAACCAAATCTGTGTTGTTAAGATCTAAATGGCAGGACAGTGGTACAGGTACAATCCCGAGAGTACTGAAGTCGAAAAAGAATTTATGTAATATATACAAGTCTTATGTATAAATTAAAGGTCTCCTTTACTTATACTGGTAAGACTGTTACAAACCATGTCTTTTTATAGAGATACTTACCTAGTTTATGCAGTTTATTGGTCATAAAATGAAATTTTATCACAGCAACAACTGTCGGGACTTACAACATGGAGGCTGCCATTTTGAATGACGGTAGCCAATTACAGTTAAGAAATAGTTCGCTTGTAAAAATATTATTTCTATTAATTTCCGCAAAGCTACGACTTACTTTTGTCTCAGATATCAAGATGGTTTTTATTGAAGTGCTATGTATGATGAAAAAAAGTACATAACTAATCATGTTTAAACTAAAAAATTATTGTCCGAGAGGTTATTCATCGTTCGGAACATTTCGGATTTTATAAGCATTACCAAAAGCTATAAAGCGCGGGAACTTTAATGTACTTTAAAACAGGCACCTGTCTTTCAACTCTTTTGAAATTAAAATGGCGAGCGTTTAACAAACTAATAAATCTTAGTAATTCTGTTAGTGGACGAAAAACATAATTACTGAAATAGTGCTGAAAAAATCAGATGTATAACTAATTTTTGGAACATTCAACTTCTTTTAATGAAGAACTATTCCATGATGCTTTTCGAAATGTCGGTTAGATAGTTCTCTATCATTGCTTCTACATCTACAGGGTACTGACCAACCTCAACAATTTGAAGAATAATGTCAGATGATAATTTGGACGGAAAAGGAAAGATTTTGACAGAAAGAATTTAGTTTGTTTTTCAGCAGTGCAGGGATGTGTACTACACATCCCTGGTTTTTGCAAAGTGACGATACCTATATATACTTGATTAAACGAAAGAGTTTGTTGTCAGGTTCGATACAGTATCCTTTTTTTCAAGGTTGAAAAATTATCGAATTTTATATATATATATTACCTCTCTGTTTATGTTATCTAACTTTTTATAATCCGGCCTCTTCATTCCTTTTCAAGCAAATGAACATGTAAAGTGTGTGTATTTATGAATATTTTTGAAAACGTGCAATAATGAAATTTACTCTAATAATATAACAAACACATACAGTTAGCTTTTCATAGTGGCAATTCATCTACAACATTTTTTTAACATTCATGTTATAGGATCAATGTGGTGCTGATTTCCCTCTCTCTCTTTAAACCGAATTAAATTCCAACCGGGCAGACCTCTCCATCACGTGAATTGCGGAATATAGATGTGATAGTCTGAGTACAAACAACTTTATTTGGTATGGTTTCATAGCTGATCCTTAATTCCAAATCTCTCTCGAGTTCCTTTATATACACCGTGTGCCATCAATCCTGTATTAAACTTTTTTTTCTTATATGGATTTTTGGAAAAAGGAGTTAATGGCATAGTAGAAAATGCAAAAAAAGTATATGTCGGTGTGTTCGTTTTTGTGCTATGATCGGGCAAAGATACCAATTTAACACAATATGTGATTTTAGGTGATTTTTGGGGTTTTGACCATTTGCATAACACATTCATACCATTTCTTCCAAGTGTGTTATCAGATATGTATGAATATGTGTAGAATTGAAATATTTTTCTTTTAAATTATGGAATTAAAATTTCTTAATCTTATTCTTTTTACTCAGAAAGGCGATTTTAGTTACCCCTACCCCTTATTTTTTTAATGAAAAAATACTATTTTTTTCACCATTTTTTGCAGATTAAACGCTTGATATAAAACGTTCTGCCATTAAACTTTTTTTAATATTAAATGAATGAAAAGAAAATGTGTTTCTCTTTCTGAAACAGCCACAAAAATGGGGGGTCCGTGTGCTTCCTTTTTTTTTGTCCCATTTTTATTTGTGTTATTTGTCACCTTTTTCAGGGTCAAACAACAAAAGTGCTTCAGTTACAATAAATATGTAAAAAAAATACCAATGATGTATAATTTTCAACTTTGTTACATATTATTTTTTTATCATATTGAACATTATAAAGTTGTACAGCAAAATTGAACCTGCTACAATTAAAAATGGCAACACAATGACAATTTAAGTGATCAACCTGATCATAATTTGTTAAATATTACAAAAACCTGCTACACCAGATCAAAACGAGAATTGAACGTGATTTAAACCTCAGAAGAGTATATCCTTGGTATGCAGCGTGATCACGTTTGTTCATCAGAATTTGGCCATGGACTTTAGTTAGTTAGGATGGTTTGGACGAACGTATAGCCAAGTCCATGTGTACGTTGTCTTGACCACATAAGGAAGGTTGCCAAGTTTGAGAGGAGTGGGGATGCTGACAGTTTGGACTGAGAGGGGAAGTGACACCTTCTGATATTGGTAAAGAAACTACATTAATTATTGGTCTATGTCTACTGGTATTCTGATGGCGGACATCTGTTATGTGTAGCATTACAACTGATGTTAAATGAAAACCCAACAGGTTTATTGAGACGGTGCCCTGACACCTGTAATATGTAAAATTACCTATGCTACTTAAGTAATAGCATACTGTAAAGTTTGACTGATGACAAGTTTTATTTTTTTATTTTTTTTCATACTTTTATTATCAGCTCGCGGATATGTACACGTCTTCATTTACATTAAAACTAAGGGAAACCACAATATATTGATGCTGAATCGTATAAAATTAATATAATATTTACCTGATTCATGTTTCAACAGCAATTCGTATTTCAATCAAATAAAATTAAGTATGGCAAGGCTAGCTCATACGTATACCGTTCGTAATCAAACTATTACATTACGACGACATTTGTTTCCTTGAAAACTTTCTTATTCAAGCAAGCTGAATTCGAAATTATGGTAAATAGGAAAACAAAATACATCTTTCACATCAGTTACTTTAAGCAAATTCAATACAGGTATCATATTGCTATTGTAGTCTGTGAGTAACATATCATGTTGTTGTTGTAGTCCGTGAGTGACGTATCATGTTGCTGTTGTAGTCTGTGAGTGAGGTATCATGTTGTTGTTGTAGTCTGTGAGTGAGGTATCATGTTGTTGTTGTAGTCTGTGAGTGACGTATCATGTTGTTGTTGTAGTCTGTGAGTGACGTATCATGTTGCTGTTGTAGTCTGTGAGTGACGTATCATGTTGTTGTTGTAGTCTGTGAGTGAGGTATCATGCTGCTGTTGTAGTCTGTGAGTGACGTATCATGTTGCTGTTGTAGTCTGTGAGTGTCGTATCATGTTCCTGTTGTAGTCTGTGAGTGAGGTACCGTGTTGTTGTTGTAGTCTGTGAGTGACGTATCATGTTACTGTTGTAGTCTGTGAGTGAGGTATCATGTTGTTCTTGTAGTCTGTGAGTGACGTATCATGTTCCTGTTGTAGTCTGTGAGTGAGGTATCATGTTGCTGTTGTAGTCCGTGAGTGAGGTACCGTGTTGTTGTTGTAGTCTGTGATTGACGTATCATGTTACTGTTGTAGTCTGTGAGTGAGGTATCATGTTGCTGTTGTATCTGTGAGTGTAGTCTGTGAGTGACGTATCATGTTGCTGTCGTAGTCTGTGAGTGAGGTATCATGTTGCTGTTGTAGTCCGTGAGGGAGGTACCGTGTTGTTGTTGTAGTCTGTGATTGACGTATCATGTTGCTGTTGTAGTCTGTGGTATCGTGTTCCTGTTGTAGTCTGTGAGTGACGTATCATGTTCCTGTTGTAGTCTGTCAGTGACGTATCATGTTGCCGTTGTAGTCTGTGAGTGACGTATCATGTTCCTGTTGTAGTCTTTCAGTGACGTATCATGTTGCCGTTGTAGTCTGTGAGTGACGTATCATGTTTCTGTTGTAGTCTGTGAGTGACGTATCATGTTACTGTTGTAGTCTGTGAGGGAGGCATCATGTTACTGTTGTAGTCTGTAAGTGACGTATCATGTTCCTATTGTAGTCTGTGAGTGAGGTATCATGTTGCCGTTGTAGTCTGTGAGTGACGTAGTGACGTATCATGTTGCTGTTGTAGTCTGTGCGTGACGTATCATGTTGCTGTTGTAGTCTGGGAGTGACGTTTCATGAGGTATCATGTTGCTGTTGTAGTCCGTGAGGGAGGTACCGTGTTGTTGTTGTAGTCTGTGATTGACTTATCATGTTACTGTTGTAGTCTGTGAGTGACGTATTATGTTGCTGTTGTAGTCTGGGAGTGACGTTTCATGTTGCCGTTGTAGTCTGTGAGTGACGTATCATGTTTCTGTTGTAGTCTGTGAGTGACGTATCATGTTACTGTTGTAGCCTGTGAGTGAGGCATCATGTTACTGTTGTAGTCTGTAAGTGACGTATCATGTTCCTATTGTAGTCTGTGGGTGAGGTATCATGTTGTTGTTGTAGTCCGTGAGTGACGTATCATGTTGCTGTTGTAGTCTGTGCGTGACGTATCATGTTGCTGTTGTAGTCTGTGAGTGGCGTATCTGTGAGTGACGTATCATGTTGCTGTTGTATCTGTGAGGGGCGTATCATGTTGCCGGTGTAGTCTGTGAATGACGTATCATGTTGATGTTGTATCTGTGAGGGAGGTATCATGTTGATGTTGTAGTCCGTGAGGGACGTATCATGTTGCTGTTTTAGTCTGTGAGTGACGTATCATGTTGCTGGTGTAGTCTGTGAGTGACGTATCATGTTGCTGGTGTAGTCTGTGAGTGACGTATCATGTTGCTGGTGTAGTCTGTGAGTGACGTATCATGTTGCTGGTGTAGTCTGTGAGTGACGTATCATGTTGCTGTTGATCTGTGAGTGGCGTGTCATGTTGCCGTTGTATCTGTGAGTGAGGGATCGTGTTCCTGTTGTAGTCTGTGAGTGACGTATGATGTTGATGTTGATCTGTGAGTGGCGTATCATGTTGCCGTTGTATCTGTGAGTGAGGGATCGTGTTCCTGTTGTAGTCTGTGAGTGACGTATAATGTTCCTGTTGTAGTCTGTGAGTGAGGTATCATGTTGATGTTGTAACTGTGAGTGAGGTATCATGTTGATTTTGTATCTGTGAGTGAGGTATCATGTTGCCGTTGTAGTCTGTGAGTGACGTAGTGACGTATCATGTTGCTGTTGTAGTCTGTGAATGACGAGTCTGTGAGTGAGGTATCATGTTGCTGTTGTATCTGTGGGCGGCGTATCATGTTGCCGTTGTAGTCTGTGAGTGACGTATCATGTTTCTGTTGTAGTCTGTGAGTGACGTATCATGTTACTGTTGTA